TTTACTCGGTCTCGATGGGGCTGAAGAGAGGGGGTTGTTGTTGAGGATGACTATAGTGTTGTTGATGATGTTGATGATAATGTTGTTGTTTTTGTTGATCATAATGATGTTGATGATAATGTTGTTTTTGTTGATGATGATGATTATAGCGTTGCTGATGGCGATGTTGTTGTTGCTGCTGACGGGGGAGGGACATGCTGTCTTCGTTGCCAGCATACGACAAATAAGAACCATTGGTACTGTTATCAGTGTCGTCAGTGAAGCTGACATCACAGCTGTTGTTGCAGCTGTGGTCATCGTTCATATCGTCAAACGTGTGATTACCGTTGTGACTGCCGGAAGTGCAGCTGCTGACGTCACTATCGTAACTGGGAGCGTCGACCAACCACTCGGCGGGGACTACTTTGATTCTGTCGTTCAACTTGTCTTTGATGGCAGCCCACATTTCGCTGTCGTACTTGAAGTAAATGAGGTCGAATGCACGGCGCTTCAGTTCTGTTGGGATGAAGAAGCTGCTCATGTCGTCGTTCGGCTGGTCTGTGAACTCTCCCCCCTGAATGTTGTACAGTTGGCGGAATGTTTCGTCATTGTTTGGATGTTGTTGTTGTTGTTGTTGATGTTGTTGTTGATGATGTTGATGTCGCCGCAACATTTTAATTCTCCTCTTGTACTCCTCGTAATCTTTTTTCCCGCCCGGTTCATAACTCCAGTCGAAAGGGAAGCAGTTAGAGTTGGAGAATGGTCTGTTGGTGTTTAAACAGGAAACAAATGCTTCTTCCGGTTCAACGTTTGTGACGTCATAACTGGTTTGGATGATGGTTGGAGCCGATCTTACAGTGCTTGGATTTGTTGATTCCCTCAAGAACTCCACTTCGCCTGGTGCACCTTCTCGCGCGTTTACATCTGAACGGAAAGGGGAATTTTTTTTTTCGGTCTCTTTTAAAAAATAATTGAATGGTTGAAATGAAGTCATAGGGCTGTAAATCATTTACTTGATTTTTACTTAGAACAACAATTTCATTCAAATAAAAAAATAGTCAAAATACTTCATCTGCAAAACTGACCAGGAGAATTCTGCGGGACCAGGTTTGGCGGTAAGGAAACTGATGCCGACGATGACGGCACTGATGACGTCACGTTGTTCCTCAAATGTTCTTCGTTCACGTTGTTTTCCGAATGTTCTTCGTTCACGTTTCTCCACGAACGTTCTTCGTTCACGTTTCTCCACGAATGTTCTTCGTTTACGCTGTTTGCATGCTGTTTGGCGAGGTAGATGGTGGAGTAGTTGTTTAAATCTATCTCTCTCAATCCAGAACTGCTTGAACCATCTACATAAAAACAATAACGATAATTAAAATGAACGCATTAATAAATAAATAGCAATTGGACCCAAAAACATTTTTGATCAGTTTTAAATATAAAATGTATGGTTATTTGCTAGTATTATTAATTTTTTCATCATTATTTATTATTATAATCATTATAATATATAATTATATTATAATAATATATATTATAATATATTATTATATATTATTATTATTATATCATTCTTATTGTTTATAGCAATAATAAACAAACCTCCGTAACTGACCGATCCAATGTAAAGGCTGTTACCAGTGTCAAGGTCATTATTATTATTATGATAATTCTTATTATGATTATAATTATTATTATTGTTGTTATTATTATTATTATTAATGACATCGCGACACCTAACATTAACGATGCTGACGCTACCATCATCATCATCATTATTGTCATCTGGTTCACTGTGAGGTTCGTAAATATGATTAATGACATTAATATTCTTGCTGTTGATGTATCTCTTACTGTTATGTATATTGTTACTGGTGGCTTGCTTGATGTCACTGAAGATGTTGCTGCTGTGTTGAGGTTTGCCACAGATGTTGTTGACGTCGCTGAAATGGTATTTAGTGTAAATTTTGTTAGTGTGGATTTTGTTTGGGGTGTTGTTGTTTTTGTTAATGTTGTTTTTGTTAATGTTGTTGCAGCTGTTGTTGTTGTTGCTCATGTTGTCGTCGTCATCAGGCCAACTGCCCAAATTCGGCAGCATGGAGCTTGTGTTGGAGTTGTACGTGTCGGCAGTTTCTTTCTTATTTCTTTTGGGGTACCCCAGTGTCAAGATATCCAAACTGTTGTCCTTCATGTTTTTGGCACTGATTTTATTATTAACACCGTTATTAATATTGTTGTTGTTGTTGTTGTTGTTGTTGTTATTGTTACTGCTGCTGTTGTTGTTGTTACTGTTGCTGCTATTATGGTTAGAAATTTTATTATTTATACTTTCTTTCATTATACCGTTGTTGTTTTTGAGGTTGTCTTCGAATAATTTTATGACGTAAGAATCATCCTGAATGTCAAACTTAGAATCAGTTGATCTGTTAACGGCGTTATAGGGAATGTTGCTCTCTTTGAGGGCCATGATGTGCAGAAGGTTGTTGTAACGTTCTTTCAAGGATTGGATCTGTCGCATTTGTTGTTCGTTTAGATGTTGTGGTTGTTGTTCGTTTGGATGTTGTGGTTGTTGTTCGTTTGGATGTTGTGGTTGTTGTTCGTTTGGATGTTGTGGTTGTTGTTCGTTTGGATGTTGTGGTTGTTGTTGTTGCTTCGTTAGGCGTGACTGCAACTTTTGTTGGTGTTGAAAATGCTGCTTAGATTGTGATAGCTGTTGCAATGTTTGTTGAGATTGATGTTGGGATTGTTGTTGAGATTGTTGTTGCTGTTGTTGCGTCGTTTTCTGAGGCGTAGTTTGTTGTTTTTGTTGCATTTCTTGTTGCTGCTCTGGATGCAAATGTGTTTGTTGTGGGCTGGTTGTGATGGAGAGTGTGGATGGGTAGGGTGTGGTGCTTTCAGAAGAGTTTTCCTCGTCATCTTCTTTTTCCAAATATTTGGGTGCTATCGTTTCTATTCAAGCAAAAACAACATTTTTAAAAATTTTTTAAAAGAAACTATTTCAATTTTATTATCTATCAACATAATGTTTCGTCAGTTATATAAGATCTTTCTATACAAAATATCAAAGAACTGATAATTAGTGGTATACACAACCTCAAAAAGTTTAAACAACCTCAAAAAGACTATGGACCTTAAAATTAATGACGACTTTAATTAAAGCGATTCAACATCCACCAGGTCAGCATAAACAACGTATCATTTCATCAATACGGTCAGAAAAATAACACACGACTAATAAACACCTCTTTCTGCCCTGTGTTGCCTAGTAGCCACTGAGTACTGACAGTTTATTATTTCCAATTATTAATTTATTTTATTCTATTTCATTTTACTTTTCTTGTTTAAATAATTTTCTTTTTCCGTTTTTTTTTTATTAATTTATTTACTTATTCGTTAAATTTTGTACTATTGCCTTCTTGCATGCTGTAACAGTTTCTGCGTCTGTCAGATCCTAATTTTTTGAGAATAATAATAAAAAATTGAAAAATTCAAATTTTGGCGGAGGTAGAGACTAATGCCACGTGGTTTGAATGGTATCTGTGAAAAATTTACTACCACGAGACCTATGTGTGTCTTGCGCCTACATACACATGTGCTACACATGCATATGTGCATATGCTAAACATCGTTTGTTTAGCTTCCTCTGTGTGGGTATGCAGTCTGTGAAAATAGTATAGTCAAGTAGAGATGTGCTTCTTAGAGCTAGCGGCTTGATAGGAGAGAAATCGTCCTTTCCATCACCAACATCTCAAACTCTCTGTCATCAAGTTTTTGAATTTCTCAAATATTCAAAGAAAAACCTTCGGTTTCTTTGATTGGCCGATTCAATTTTGTGAAGACCGCCCTCCTGTTTTGCTCCGACCAATGGCGTTTCATCATGCCCAACACCCTGTCGGCAAACGAACTTGAGGAGGACGACGACCAGCACCCTGTTCGATTTTGGTAACTGTCATTATTGCAACGGAATTTGAAATGGTAACAGCAACAACCATAATAACAACATTGATAATAAGATCATAAAAACAATAATATAAATAATAATAGCTATGCTAGTTTCTATTGAGTTGTTCATTAAGTTCTTCCTGCAAAACTCGACGAAATCTCCCCACTAACATGCATACATATCAAGCTGGTAGTGAATGTTTATGAATATTCTTGTGAAAACAATTACTGGACGAGCCAGCTCAGGCGGCAGAAGTGCTTGTGTGAATTAGTGTGTGTGTGTGTTTGTGGGTGTGTGTGTGTGTGTTTCACGTAGTTGTATCGTGCGTTAACCTGGTTTGAATGCAATCAAAGAGGAGCTTATAAACAAAATTCCTTCCAAGTCCTGCTGGCATGATGCGGTGCTTGCGTGTTACACGCAAATGTGCATTAAAACTTTATGCTGACTGGTGATGGCCTAATGGTTAGAGTCGCCTGATTCTGCTTCAAAGTGATTTAGATCAAATGCAAAGAAAGTCCCGACTATCATATGCAATTCGGGTGCTGTGTGTCGTTGTTTATACCTCTGACCCCGACCTCTGACCTCTGATCTCTGATACATTTAAAAAAGTAGAGAGGATGACCCTCAACAATTCTTATTGAGCTTTGTATGCACCTCTGCGTTTGTCAGGACATTTTTTTATTTTCAGAGCTGAACGACAACGAAGACAAAATAACAACAACAACAACAATAATAATAATAATAACAATAATAATAATAATACATTAATAGTACCGACCAGCTGATTTTACTTGTGGTCCACCGGCCTTAAGTTTCCTCACCACCACCTCCTCCCCGTCACAATAATTCTTCCTCTTCACCTTCCAACCACCCACTTTATGATTTTGTTTCAATAGTTTGTGTACGTCAGTCGTCTCCAGTTTATTATTATTATTACCATTATTATCATTATTATCATTATTATTATTATTATCATCATTATCATTATCATTATTATTATCATTATTATTATTATTATTATTATTATTATTATTATTATTATTATTATTATTATTATTATTATTATTATTATTATTATTATGGTTATCATCAAAATCCTCAAAGCCATAATTACTCATTCCGGATTTGTTAACGTTCATGGTGGGATCGTTCCGGATGATTTTTCTCCTGAGTCTCTTGCTCCGGTTGTGCTGAATGATGGTAGTGGCAATTGGCCTGTTGTTGCTTTCGTAACTCCTTTTGATGTTATTATTGAGGATGTTGTTGTTGTTGTGGCTGTTGTTGTTGTTGTGAATGTTGTTGTTGTTGTTGTGGATGTTGCGGTTGTTGTGGGTGTTGTGGTTGTTAGTTTTGTGGCTGATATCGTTAATGTAGTTGTTGTTTTTGTGGTTATTATTATTGTTGTTGTTGGTGGTGGCCGTGGTGGCCGTGGCGGCCGCCGATTGGCCCATCCTCAACCCCGTCGAAACAGACACGTCGTCAGGTTTCAGGTTTCCTGCTGCGTTTGTGTTTGTTGTTGTTGTTGTCATTGTTGTTGTTGTTCATTGATTCGTAATTTCAAATTTCAACTAAACAAATAGTTGTTAGCAAGCAGAATGACAAATTATAGAGTAGAATTATAGAATTGAATTCCAGTTATACCTACTTTACTCAGAGAATTTTTTATTTTATTTCTATCCGAAAATGATTTTTTAATCCATACAAATTTACATTCAGAAAATTTTTACTTGTTAAAATTTTAGCCCCAGCATCAACACAGCGACCACCATCGTGGTAATCATCATCATCATGAACCACATCTTCCTCCTCCTCATCATCCTCATCGAAAGATTGTTTGTTCTTCCTCTGCCAGCGTCTGTAGTGCCACCAAATCGTGAACGCGCAGACCAGCAAGACGATTGTGGTCAGTAGCGTTGGTACCGTGGCCAGTGTTATTGTTCTCTTTAAGTTGTTGCTGTTGTCGTTGTTGGTGTTATCTGCGGTCGAGTTTGATGTCGTTGTGTTGAAAACTGTTGCACATTCTGCCGTCGTTGTTTTTGTTGTTGCTGTTGCTATGTTGTTTGTTGGTGACATTGCCGATTTTATTCCATTTGAAGCGTGATTTCAATTAATTTTTCAGAATTTTTCATATTTATTGCTAGAAATCATGAACTGTGTTTCATAGTCAAACGTATGTGCAGTTCTATGTTTTATGTATTTTTGTATACGTATATTGTATTTGTACGTTGTTGTATTTTTGTGTGAGTGTTGGTTATTACTAACTCAAATATACGTACTGCATTTCGGTATTGCTGCTGTATTTTAATGTTTTATCTGCAAGTTGAGTTTTGGTATGCTGCTTTTGTTACAATCAATTATGTATATGTTTTGTTGTATTATATTTTGTATTTAGATTGTATGTGAGGATTTCTTACGTAAGTTCGTTTGCATTGTTGTATAATTGTGTATATTCCTTTTTGTTAAGCATAATTTGCACGAAACTTATGAAATCTTTCGTAAAATAATCGACACAGTTGAAGAATCTCACTGATTTTCTGCCCTGCCATACCAGAAGATGCCTATAAGTTTAAAATGATCAGAATTTAATTTGAAGACTTGAGAAATATTGTTTGATAACGAAGCTTGCTAGTTTTCACATAAAAATTTCATTAAATTTTAATATAGAACATAACATAAAATAACAATGTAACATTTAATAAAGCCCTGTAGTTGTAAGTATATGGAATCAAGAGATATGTGGCCGAGTTTTAAAGTAATTTATTTTGATTTCTTTGTTCATCTTTGCTGTTTATAGCGTCATGTTGGAACGTTTTATCGCTCGGATTGTTACAAGATGGCGGTACGAAGTACGGGTTGGCCGAAATTCACGAAACCTGGCCCCAACGATGGTCTTCATATTTCTCCACTCACGTTGACGCCACGAATGCCGCAGTTTGCTCAGCTGACCCTAGAACGAACAATCAGTTTGTTAGTTTTGTTTTTGCCTGTTTGGCCTGTTTGGCCTGCTGATCAGCTGTGACTTTGCAAAAAAAATTAAAATTGAAATAATAATTGAATTTTAATGTATTTAAAATTGGGATAAGTAATGTTTACAATTTCAGATTCTTTTATTTTCAATTGAAGTTTAAAATGTTTAATTTAATCAATCTTTAATTAAATAAAATTTATTGTTAAATTCTAGTAGATCTAGTTGAGGTTATAATTTTTTTTTTAAATTATTTGATTTCTTGAACATGCAGGTATCCATTGACGAATTACACGTTTGGCACGAAAGACCCTCAATATGAAAAGGACCAGTCGATCGTAGCGAGGTTTGACAGAATGAAGGAGGACTTCAAGAAGACGGGGATGAGGAGGTCAGTTGAGGGGGTCCTCATTGTGCACGAACATGGTCTACCCCACGTTCTCCTGCTACAGCTTGGCACTTCGTACTTTAAACTGTTGGTTTATTTCTTTTTTCATTTGTTTCTATGTCTCTTGTTTTTCAAATTTTGAAACTTTGATCTATAAATTTGTTCTATTAAGTTGACTGAAATGTTTTTTGTAAGGTGTTAGACGGAGGATTATTAATTATTTTCCTTTGTACTTGATATTTTAAACTTTATTTACTTAACTTATTTCAAATTTCAACATCCAAATCAATCTTTTTTTTTACATGTTTTTAATTTTATTTGTTTCATTCTTTGATAATTATGATAATAGAAATTAACATTTAAACAGACCTGGGGGTGAGTTGAAGCCGGGAGAGGATCAAGTCGGAGGTCTGAAACGACTGCTGACTGAGGTTTGTTGTGGCTGTTGACCATCTGATAATAAATTGCTAGAATTAATTCTCTTATCTGGCTTTCATATCATTACAACTTATTTTTTTCCTTTATTTGAGTAATTAAATTAGCGCATAATTTTTATTAGATTATTATTAGATTATTTATATTGTTATTATTATTTTATTATTATATTATGATTATTATTATATTATTATTATTGTTGTCGTTTAGATGTTGGGTAGGCAAGACCAGCCGCCTGTGGAATGGACCATTGAGGACACCATTGCCAACTGGTGGAGACCCAACTTTGAATCACCGCAGGTAGGCTGTCAATCACATCTGCTACTGTTGTTGCACTTATCATCATTATCATTCTCACCATCTGTCTTATCATTGCTATCATGGGGGGCTATCATCATTGCTATCATGTATCTACATATCTTTTTTGGCTATCTCATTACTTATTTTGTTTTTGGAATGTTTTTTTTTAATTTGTGAGAAATTTTATTCTAATTAAATTTTTATTTCATTACTCCTCAGTATCCTTACATACCAGCCCACATAACAAAGCCTAAGGAGCATAAGAGATTGTATCTTGTTCAGTTGCCAGAGAAAGGTTTGTTGTTGGTTTGTTTGTTTGTTTGTTTGTTTGCTTGTTGGTTGGTTTGTTTGTTTGTTTGCTTAGTTGATTGTGTTTTTGTTTGTTTGCTTGTTGCTTTGATTCATAGTTGGTATGTAGTCTTGTTAGAAATTTATTAAAGATGGATTGGGTTGGTGATTATTTGATTGGTTGTTTGTTGTGTGGCTTTGTTAAAAGTTCTGTTGTTTTTGTGTGTGCGTGCTGGTGTGTATGTGTGTGTGTGTGCGTGATTGTTTTTCTATGTGTGAATTTGGCCGGTTTTTTTTGATAAAATAATTGATGATTTTTTTTAAATGGGTAGAAAGAACAGGAAGTTAATTGAATTTGGCTATTAAATGGAAGTTTTCTGTTTCACGTATAAAGAAAAAATGTTGGGAATCGAATGTTTGTAACAATTAATTATATGATTATCAAATATCATTGTGTTTATTATTAATTAATTAGATAATTCCTAATTTATGATTTGATTGGCATCTGACAGCTCTGTTTGCAGTCCCTCGCAACTACAAGCTAGTGGCAGCCCCTCTGTTCGAGTTGTACGACAATTCTGCTGGCTACGGTCCAATCATTTCGTGTCTACCACAGAATCTTAGCAGGTAATACCTAAATGTTTGTCCGTGTGAATGTGTGTTTATTTGTGTGTGTATGTGTGTGCTTTTTTATGTGTGTGTGTGTATGTATGTGTGTGTGTATGTGTGTGGTGTGTGTGAATGTATGTGTGTGAATGTGTGTGTGTGAGCGTGTGTGTGTTTGCTTGTCTGTGACATTCTATGTGTGTGTTTTGTATGCTTGATTCTTGTGTATATATGCACAAGTGAGATCTTGCTTCTATTCTACTTTGTGCACGTAGGCGCTTTTTTTGGTAAAGTGTTTGCATGCTCGTATGTGTTGATGTCTGTTTATGAATGTTTCTCTCTCTCTCTCTCTCTCTCTCTCTCTCTCTCTCTCTCTCTCTGCCTCTCTCTCTTTCTTCTCTCACTCTCTCTCCCCTCATTCACCGTTTTGTATGTTTGCATGTGCATGTTTGTTTTTTATTCGTATGTTGCTGTATTTGATGTTGGTTGAATGGATGGTCAGAGATGTTTGAAGAGCATATTTTGAACTCATTTCACCACCAATTTACCCCCAGGTTCAACTTCATCTATAATTAGTCAGTTGAGTTGGGGACATTGGACGATGATATTTTTGACTATGTAGAGGACTTTATACGTGTTCACGAGCCAAGAAGATTGTAACTGATGCTATTATTTTTTCATTATTATTTTTATGAACCTTATATTACATTATAATATTAATAATAATTTAATATAATTATTAGTAATTATGATTATATTAATTCTTTTATTGATATTGTTATTAGTTTTTGGCTTGATATGTTTGGACGACTTTGTTTGAAATTAATTTCTGACGGTTTCAAATCCTTGCTTTTGAATAATTATAATTAATTATTTAATTAAGTAAGTAGATAACCATTCAATTAATTAATTAGTTTGTTAGGCTGATAATATTCTTTTAATTTAACTCTGTTTCATTTATAAAGAAATTACGTGCATCTAAATGTTGTCTAAGTGTTATTTGATGTGTGTAACAATATATATATATATTTTTTTCATCAGTAATTGCATATATATATATATGTATATATATATACATATATATATATATGCAATTGCTGATGAATTACTGATATATATATATATATATGTATGTATATATATATATATATATATATATGTGTGTGTGTCTGTGTGTGTTGGTGAAAGACCATAATTTTACAATATTCTATAAATTCTACCGAATGTATATATATATATATATATATATATATATATATATATATATATATATATATATATG